GGAGTGATCTGACCATGACAAGGGCAAGGTCTCTATTCCCCTTAAATCAAGATCACGTCTCCACTGCCCCAAGAGAAATACAAGGTCAAGCGTGTGTCCCGCTCTATGAGTCAGACCCTGAACTACCTGGGTCAAGTCCATGGTTGTCATGGAAGCCATAAACTCCTGTGCCCCATCTGAGTGTTCACCGAGAGACGGCAGATTAAAGTCCCCCAGTACTATTAGTCTGGGGAACTCCACCGCCAACCCGGCTACTGCCTCTAGCAGCACAGGCAGGGCTGTCATGATGCAGCTGGGAGGCAGGTATGTCAACAACGAGCCCAATTGAACCCTTAGGTCCAACTTCAAGAGGAGAGACTCACACCCCACAATCTCTGAGGCAGGGATCCTGCGAGGCACTAACGACCTTCGGACGATAACTGCTACTCCCCCACCCCTTTTTCTGGTGTCGTGGTTGGTGGAGCACCTGAAACCCATCTGGACACATTTCTGAGAGGGGGACTCCTCACTCTTGGCCCAGCCAGGTTTTGGTTATACATGCCAGGTCTGCCTCCTCGTCTAATATTAAATCCCGGACGAGGGGGGCTTTGTTCACAACCGACCTGGCATTTAGCAACAACAACCTCAGACCAGGGCCCTGTACTCCTCTGCCACCAGGTCCTTGAGTTGAGCCTGAGGTGCCGGAACAAGGAATCACTGTAATGTAGCAAGTCCTTCTTCCCCAGTAATGGCTAGCCCTACAGCTTCCGTCATATCTGCCCCTCCCAGTCATAACCAAAATGGTCCAACATCCCCCCCTCCCCCATGGCCCCCATTCTTCCTGGCAGGCCACGTGTACCATTCACACCAGGACGGGAGGCGAGTCTGGGCCCCCATCCACTTCTTCTTCTGCACTCAGTGGAGGGGACTCCGGGTCGCACTCCTGGTCCTATCATACTCACGAATCAAACACTCTCTTCAGACACACCCCACAATAGTTATTAAAATACAATGAATTAAATTAAAAGTGGGCACATTTTCTCTCACATTCATACTCATACACCCAGCAAACCAGCTAAAAAAAATACCGTTCCTAACTCGATGGCAATTAAAATAATTTAAGAACGGTAAAAAAAATTGAATGTCCCGAAGGGGAAAGAGGGGGGGAGGGGAGAAGAGGAGGGAGAGGGAGGGAGGAGGGAGAGGAGCCGAACTGAGATGGGGTTTGTTTCTGATGATCTCCAGCTGAGCGTCTTCTGAGTAACGGGGCTCTGTCCAGCAGGCCCAGCAGTCCTGGGGGAGGCCCCTCAGTTTCTGCAGAGGAAAGCAGTGGAGAGACGTGTCGTTGAAGACATCGGGGTGTTGCAGGTGGGGGCGGAAGGGCTTCCTCCTGGGTTGCCTCCAACACCTTGGCAATGTAGCTACAATTCTCCCAGAAGACTTTGGCCAGCAGCCTCTCTTCGAAGCCCCGGAAGCTGTTCCCCACGACCACCATCTGGGGCAGGGCCTCCGCGAACCAGTTGCTCCACAGCAGGTTGTTGTACCGCACCTTCCCACAGTGGATCATGTAGAAGTGGGTGGGGCCCTCGATGCTCCGTTTCCCCTCCTCGTTCCACTGCAGCACGGTGAGGCTGAGGCCGCCCAGCAGCCCAGTCTCCAGGGTGGAAAAGACGGGGTCGAAGACGAAGCAGCTCTCCGGGGCGACCCCCAGCCCCTCCAGCAGCAGGAGGAGGAAGGCCAGCTGCAGTCGTGCCTTCCCGCACGAGCAGAAGCTCCTGAGGCCGTAGCACACGCAGCGCAGTCCGCCCGCTTCTCTGCCCCCGGGAGCCCCCAGGGCCGCTTCTTCTTAGTAGCAGGGTTGTAAATAACTCTTCGTGGGAGCAGTGAGTGCCTCCACCTGTATACTGGACCCATGCCCCTCCCTGCTGGTCTCGACCAGCAGGGAGGG